GCGGGCCTCATTAAGACAACCTCCTGACTCGGCATTTGTCATTTACACGAGGCCATCTCAACGCACCGACAGCCCGGAAGCGTAGGAACGCGTCGAAGAAGCCATTCACCGGGTTCGAGCGTTGGACTGCCTGAAGCTGAAAACGGCATAGACCGCTGCTGACGTTCGGGTTTGCAGCCATCTCCCCGGAGAAGCTCAACTTTCCCTCTCCGGACTTTACCTCCTCGCCCTGCGGTGCCTTCAAGGCGTGGGCCGGGTGCGACTCTGTGTGGTGCGTTCTTGTTACCTTTGGACCGTTTCGCCTAGCCGGGTGGTGCAATATCTGCACCCTTTCTGGTGGTGGACCACAAGGACTTCGTTCCCTGCTTTGTGGCAAGAGTGATCACCGCCTCCTTCGGACGGCGGTGACGGTGGGCTATAAAAGCCGAAGCATCTTTGTAAATAGGGCGAAATTTCGTACGAAATCATGAGCTGAACCTCTGTTGTACATAACCACGGATTTTCTCAATCCCTGTACAGTCCTTTTCTTTCTTCAATAATGTAAATAAACCCTCTTTAAATGCGTCCCCTCACTGGCGAAGATCGACTATGCGAACGATGGCGGGGAGCCGGCTACCCTAAAGAGAAACTCGTCGTACCTGTCATCAACTTCCTACCCTTAACAATAATAAGAATGTATGGGCACCTCGCCGATCCAAATCAGTTTGCTGGGAAGTCGGCAGACCGCTGACTTCGTTCGTTGTAACCGATCAGCGGCGCTCAGAGACGTTTGTTGTAGGTGCGATTTTGTGCTATTGAATAAATGTATATTTCCGCGATCACGCGGATATTGTTTGTTTTAAGTGGGGCCGTTATTTTCCACCGACCCAAACGACTTACCTTTACAACGGTGGGTCCCTGAACTTGTTTGTCACGAGAAAAAACAAATGCACAAGTGAACACCAATAAATGCACGTTTACTTTAAAAAAGTCCGTTTCTTTTTTCTTTTTTTTTTTATGCGTGCAGCACAAACATTGCAGCACGAAGAGCCCCAGTTCATCTACATTCCTGTGGTGCGATTCGGCTCTTTGGTCACAACAGCCTGCTTTTTGCCTTCCAGTTGCGGAAGAATATCCACTTTCTCGCTTGGCGAAAACAGCTTCCGCTTCTTTGTCGCAAGCAAAGATGAACTCATTTGTAGTCGCATTGCACCGCGAATGCCGACTTCCTTTGCAGATGCGATAAGTAATAACCGAAAAGAGATGAAGACAACTGACAAACAAGGCCTCCTAAAGCACATGTGGAAGTGACAAAAGAAGACAAATCCGAAGTGTCGCAGCGATCATCGCCTCTTCTGAAGAAAATAAAGAGCTAAAAAAGAAAATTCGTCGCGTTTCGTTTTCTGCTCCCTTGCTGTCTCAGGTTTTCCGCGCCCATGCTTCCTGCTCCACAACTCCCACTCTGCCTCGCTGACCTTGCCCTCCAGTGTTGCCCTTGCCCCTCGACTCTGGGCTTGTACCTCTGGACCTGCAACACCGGCGTTTGAACAGAAGGAAAAAAAAAACCCTCCTTTGTGTTTTTTTTTCTTCCCCTCTGCATTGTCGCGCGTTTTCCGAGAAGCAACATGTCCGTTCTATTTGTCGTCTACTAGCGTACCAGTCCGGTAGTCCCGACAAATTTCAGAACACGAGTTTGTAGTACTGAGGTGTTAATATAACGCAGAACTGAATTAATGCTCGTCATTCTGAAAAGTTCGGTATTCTGAAGTACGTAAGAGTGAAATAACTTTACATTGAAACTATTACCAGTCGGCACGGGATTTTTCAATAGTTTTTTAAGTAGGGTTCGTTCTACCGAGATTTCACTGTATTACGATCACACTGTTAGCAAGCAACACTGCAGCGGCAGCAGGAAATTTGTTTCAATTTCAATTTCATTGGCTATACAGGTCGGGAGCATGCCTTCAAAACTGCGTGTGCTCTATGATCACGTCTATAGTGACCGCGGTCTTAACGATAGTGGACGTGGCACTCAGTAGCTTCGTTTGGGTTCAGGCAATGCCCATACAATGTCACAAAACTCAAATATAGTGCAAGCTGCTGAAGACGAAGAGCTTCAGCCACGGCCTGCATGCTGGCATAAAATTCAGCTGCTACACTATGATAGACGAACTATCGGTTTTGGGCTAAGTTTCCATTGGAAAAATTATCGTCACAGTGCATGTGGTGGTGATAGTGACGGTGATTTGCAATAAATAATAAGTTCAGAGCATGCCTCGGCTTAAGACACAGGAGTGTTGAGCCAAGGTCACATAATGAATAATGTCACAAATATCAATAGTGCACTGATCTAATGTAAATTAAGAAACAGATTTATGTACTTGTTCACCAACAAAATGAAAAGGCAGTGATGCAATTTATCCTCAAATACTGAAAAACACAACTTTATTGTTATCTAGATTCAATTATCCGGCATTCAGTTAATACGGACTTTTTTTCCCAGTCCCATGCAATTCAAATTAACGAGTTTTCACTGTTGTTTCGAAATGCTCCTTCGCATTGCCACAGAGGGCTATCGTTTACGAGAGCCAGAATTTTTCTGCACTTTGGCCAAACGAAAGAAAAGGCTCTGTGGTGGCTACTTTAGAAGATAGTTGCTGTGGTCCTCTGTTTATTTTTGCGTTGGTGGCGATAACACACATCAGATGCATGTTTGTTCTAGCTGGTACTAACAATTGGTGCATAATTATGTGGAATTTGCGGCAGGTACTATCAGCGCCAAATGAAACCCGAACAGCGCCAAGCCTTCGTGATGCTATAGTGGGCGCCGTCCACTTATCACCTTGGAAAGGCACGCATACATGTGCTGAGCTGCTGAACAGTATGCGCGCACCTGTCAATGGTAATACCGTAATTACTCGAATCTAACGTGCACCTTTTTTCTTGTTAAGCGAGTTCATAAATCGCATGCGTGTTAGAATCGAGTACAAAAAAAAATTAATACTGTTATTCTATTGCCATCAGAATTTTCAAAATGGTCGCCCCTACGCGCGTCGGCAGTTTCTGCCTATGTGTTTCCCATGTGCGGCACTTTGTGCGTGTGCTGAGGAGTTCGTCATCTTGTAGTGCATTAGCACCGACGGCATGAAAGGGCCGACTTCAAAAACTCGAGTGCACCACGATGCCTCTTTTAAAAGGGAAGTCATCGCTTGTGCAGAAACGGACGGAAATCGGGCCGCATTGCGGTCGTTCGGAGTTTTTGAAACGTGCGTGCGGGACTGGCGGAAACAAAAGCAGAAGATTGTCGACAGCAAAGCTTCACGCAAAGGCTTCTGTGGACCACAGGAGGGTCGGTTTCCGCAAATTGAGGAGCTGCTCAGCGAGTATGTGCTTGAGCAGCAAGCGGCACCGCGGCCCGTGACGACAGGACTGCTCCAAGTGCGGGCTATGCAGTTAGCCTTAGAAAAAAGGTCTAATGCGGAGCCAGTTTAAAGCGAGCAGGTGCTGGCTAACTAACTTTATGAAGAGAAAAGGCTTTTCTCCTCCACATCACAGTTTTCACAGGTTCGTCCTAAACTTGCGGCACAACGGTTACCTGCTTGGGCAAATCGGGAATGCCAATCACGCGCCTCTTTACTTCTATATGCCTGGCACCGCAACCGTCGAGAAGAAGAGGGTGAAGCAAGTTCGCGTGCTGACGTTGGTCCACGGTAAAACTAGTGACGGCAATGCTCTGTTACACGTCAGAAGGGCACAAGCTTCCCCATGTACCTGATATTGACGCTCCTGAAAGAAGTCGTTTTTTCGAGTGGTGTGATCGTGCGGGCCGGCGAGAAAAATGGGTGCGCGTTGATATCGATATCTTAATTTTTTTTTTCGTCGTGGAAATCGGGTGCGCGTTACAATCGAGGGCGCGGTAGGATCGAGTGAATACGGTAACTTGACAGTGTGCACTATACCACCGCGAAGGCTTGCCGCAGCTTGGCTTTTATTTGATGCTGACGGTGCATATTGTGAGCGCAGTCGCCGACTCATCTTCATCAATTGCACATGTCATCATCATTTGTATTATCTGTACATACCATCATCAGTGTGTGCCAGCTCGAGCTCGTCTCGAATAAAGCTCTTCCTCGTAATATTAATGAAGTTTCATTGTACACAGTGAGGTGTGGCACACGAAAAAAAGCAATGTCAGCGTACGTCGTGATCTTGAGTGTACATTGTTGAGACTCACACCGCGCTGGAATTAAACACACAAATAAAAGACACACTGAAGCACAGGTAGGACACACACGAGTGCATGAAATGCAACTTCTGACCCTGTTAACTTTTGCTGTGATTCCTGTGCACACTAACATTGCTATGCTAATATGTAATTTTAACCCATTACAACATGTGGTGACAACATGTGGCAATACCGTACAGCAAAAAGTGCACGTGATCCTGATATCACTCCCACTTTATGTCCGTAATCAGCTGGTGTTCTGCCCCCTAAAGTGAGGAAGGACGAGGGGACCTGAGTATGAAGGGAGGGCATCGTCCAACTACAAAATTTTCCTGGACTGCTGACAACAGATTTTGCTGTTCCGACAATGCATTGTTTCACCAAGCACAAGAGGTGATGCGGTATCCTTTTAAGGTTATAAACGAATTGAATATAGTGTTCTTAATGCAGTATGGGTGGCATAAATATGATATGATCCGAAAACACTAATTATATTGCACAGTCGAATGCTGCCCACGATTTTTCAGCGGTCATGCAACACAAGTGAATTCATCAGACTAGAAAGCTGGGAAAGTAATTGCCTATTTGCAGCCACCGTTTCTTCTTGAAGATTTCACAATATTTCATGTGGAACTCACTTCTCATGTAAAAAAAGAAAGAAGAGAGAGTTGTCAAAGACTGAACTTTGCACGAAAGGCTTAGTGTAATAAATATAACAGTGTATAACGAAGCAAAATGACAATTTTAGCTGGTTCGTTACACCGTGGTTGTAGAAGAGTGGAGAAGCAGCACACACCTCCTCGTACTTTCCCTGGTTCTGACAGAGCAGGGCCAGGTTGTTGAGCTGCTTGGCGACATCAGGGTGGTCTCGGCCCAGCACTCGCTCGCGGATGTCCAGGGCCCGCTTGCAGAGGGGCTCGGCATCGCGGTACTTTCCCCGCTTGCCGTACAGCACGGCCAGGTTGTTGAGGGTGGCTGCCACAGCCGGGTGGCTCTCGCCCAGAGTTTTTTCCCGGATGGCTAGCGCGTCATTCAGCAGGGCAGCCGCCTCCTTGTACTTGTTCTGGTCCCTGTGGGCACATGCACTCAGCGACCTTAGATAGCTGCTCTATAAAAATGCGACCTCTCCTTCAGATACATCTTCCCGGAACTTGCAATACATTCTTCAAATAACAGTAAAACAAGCCAGTCAAATACAGCTGAATCACTTTATAAGAGACATCGATGTAAGAGACCGCTAGATATAAGAGACTAAAGAGTGTCTTTGTCAAAACGGGGGTTGCTCAGTGAATGAGAAAATTGTACTATGTTTACGAGAAACATCACGTATATAGTAGACTCTTAGTAAACAGAACCTTAGGGGACCAGAAAAATATGTTGCATTTAACAGGAATTCCGTTTACCGAGAGGTGAACATGGGTGCAGAATATAAGCCCGAAACCAAGCATAGCTGAGACAATAGTTTCGTTTAAGCAATGGTTCCGTTCAACAGATTTCCGTTTACTGAGAGTCTACTGTAATTGAACTACTATACAGTCGAATCATGCCACAACAAAGTTTCTGCCGCAAAGATAAATTTTAGATTCTCCATCAGCCACACACAGAAAACAATGTAAAAATTGTTGTTGCAATTAATACTTTTTCTAGACACCTCCACTTCAACGAAGTTTTCGTGAGTACTACTACACAAGGAAAAGAAAAATCGCCATAAAATTCAGCTACCAATTTAGGCATTTCTTGTAGGCTCAAGACATCCAGAACACGCGGTAACATTTACTAGAGACACACTTTCTGCCACTGCACGCACAATCCGATAACTATTTCACCATTGAAATGCTTGGCAACAGATCGCCCCTCCGCCATGATGCTACTTGTGGATTTGATGCAGATGTAAACCACACCAGAATGAGTGCCTCACGAACTCCTGCCATGTTTTTAACAGCGTGCCCAAAGAAAACTACCACTTGTCGTCATTAGCCTTGCAGTTGCGAATGAGATCCACAGCATTATGAAAGGCGCATGTGAGGCTAGTGCACACCTAGTCCATGCATAACTACGGACATTCTGCCGCAACCCCTGCAAAAACCAATGCCGCCTTGTCAATGTGATCATGGGCGAACATGAAAGTACGCATGCATCCAACACACACCCGCTCAACCCAATACTTCATGTTGCAATGCTGCGGACAAGACCGCTTTCATGCGAACAAAGATAGCAACGACACAGTTCTGAAGGCACGCGCACAGCCAGTGCAGCGTGCACAAACTGGAAATGGAACAACCACTTACCGAAACCACTGTGCAGGAAACCACGGTCGCTATCATAGCGTTTATCGATAGTGAATATGCCCTGAACATGAGCAGCTAACATACCCATAGATTGCGGGTAATAAAGCTGTAACACACCACAAAGTGTTATGGTTTTTTTTGTCATTCACTATGGCTATGGTAGCGCGTAGCTTCAGCACTTTCAGTGGCACTTTTCAGTTGGCCTCTAATAAAGCTTTGGCAAGCTCGTTCTTGGCGCCGCGCACTCTGCATGCTCCAAGATTGTCTGAATATTGTATTTTCTCGTGTACAACACGCCCCTGCACATAACTACCTCCCCCTATCGACTGAAAACGGCGGAAGAAAGAAAAAGAAAAGTACCCTTCTATATACGCAAGACCTTTTTTTTTTTTGCATTACTGTGAAGGCGTGCCATGAAGCCAACTTGCACACCAAAATTCTTGTATCACCCACATGACTTCAACTCCCAATTTTCTGTATATTTTGATCGTGCTTTATGAAAGAAAATGCATTCATCGGTGTGCGGCTAGGTACGTTAGATTTCAATGCATGCACTTGCTGAGTTAGATTTCAATGCATGCGCTTGTTGGGACCAAAGGATGAGTCAGAATCATTAGATCTTCCCGAATTTTGTGGTCTATAGATGAAATTTCACTCTAAAAAAATTACGCGAAAGCGAATTCCTCTGCGCATGCCCTCAATTTTGTTGCAGCAGGAATTGACTTTAGCAGATTATGGGAAATAAAAATCACTCTGTCCTCTATTGTCAATCTGCTCGGCCGTTTTTAGGTGCAAAGAAAGTGTGGTCAAGCTAAATTCGGTGTGCAGCATGACCACCCCTACAGCGCATGCACGTCCCTCCCCGTCCCTCATCTCCTAAAATCAACTCCCCTCTTTCCTCTAGGCATCCCTCCCAGCATCATTTACACCCCGCTTGTGCATGTACGCCTCCTCCCCCTTCTCTCTCTTTTGCTACGCTCCCTCCTCTCATCTCGCAACACTGATGCAAGCAGCGTTTAATAGCCAGTTTCTTGATTAAAAAAACCCGACTGCTTGCGCTGCACAAGCGTTCACTGGCCACCTCAAATATAGGCACTGGATCTTGACCTCCAACTTAGCGCCAGTGGGAGAATTCCCCTGTGCGTTGTCAAACATTAGAAATCCGCAGTGTGCACGTTAAATAAAAACGGACTGCGGGCCTCTGTGTCCAATCAGAGTCCTCTGTTTCTCATTGCCCGTTAGGAGCGATGGGCATGTTCCAGTAGGAAACACTGGTCCATGACAGTGCTTTACACCTCCCCAGGTTTCCCTCCTGCGCGACGCCGCTATCTGCACCAGAGTGAACGTCACCAGTGTAAGCGTTAGCACCCGCTCTTTCACATCTACACATAGTTCCTTTTAGCGGGAGATGGTGTACTTTTGTTTCCTTCCTGTAATTCACTATACCAGTTCAAAGTACCGCGAACCAACTAGTCCAATCAACGCTTGTGGATTCCATAAAAGGGACAAGAACTGGTCATCCCTGGCACATGCCTCTTGCAAAGATGTTCAACTGTTCACAGCATAAACAGAACCTGAAGACACCAAAACAATATGTTCTATTTAACAGGAGCTTCGCTTACTGAGAGATGAACAGGGGTGCAGAATACAAGTGTGAAATCAGTCATGCTGCAGTTGTTCCATTTAAGCAACAGTTCCATTTGACAGATTTTCGTATACTGAGAGTCTGCTGTATATGCTGTAAAAGCCCGCACATAAGATGAGACTTTCTTTCTTCTGAATTTCGCCAAGGGAAAACCTGCTCATATTGTAAGCGGATTCCAATGTTTTTGGCCCAAAATCTGTACTTTCGATGGTGTTGTTGTCCATTCCTATCATTATTGAGAGTCATAGTGGAGGAAGAGTCACTTCTACGTGGCTTCTGTAAGCTGCTTGTAGTTTCAACTGACACCTATTTCACCACACCAACTTCAAAACATGCTTCCAGGGGGCAGGGGGTTGCACTTACAGCTTACAGCTTCTCAGGCCTGCAGTGACATCATAAATGAATGGTCAGCACTAAAGCTTTTGACGTCAGCGTTCATACCAAGACCCGCAAACATACGGTGCTTTCATGTGTGCATAATTAAAGCACAGTCTACTGTGTGCTGTGGCAGCTAGTAACTCCTCGCTAATCTGAATGCACTTCATCAACAAGACACTAGAATACTGCTGTGACGATGCCTGATCCGTTCCACGTGCTATCAGAAATCTTTACAACTGATTGGTTATAATTACTTTATTTTTCCAGCACTGTTCTTTATGGCAGTGCCTAAACAATCAGGAAGATTTCTCAAAGCCTGGTAGCCTGTTGAGCAAACTGGGAGAGCTGGCAGGTATGAACATAGCATGTTGTTGACTTCTACGACTGCGCTGTGAGAGACCTGCTGCATCCGCAGCAGTTGTAGCAGTTGTAGCAGCAGTTGTAGGGAGAGACAGCATTGTTCCGATCCATTAAGTGTCGACTGTGTGAGTGTCTTTCAGATTGTGCATACACTGTCAATGACAATTTCAAGGGTGAAACAATCTTTTTGCATTAAATGAAGAAACTTGTGCTGACCTGTAGACAAGTGCCAGGATGTTGAGCATGGTGGCCACATCTGGATGGTCGTGTCCACTGGTCTTTTCCAGATCCTCGAGGGCTTGCTTGCACAAGGGCACGGCCACTTCATAGCGGCCCTGCGATGCATACTGGATCACCAGGTTGTGCAGCGTCCTCAGCCGAGCAGGGATCTCGTAGCCCGCCGAGCCTCCTCCCCCCGAGGTCCCCATGGGGCCCATGCCGACCCCTCCGCCCGGCGGGGACAAGGCATCCTGGTTGTTCTCCTCATCATCTGGGAAGCCCAGGTCGAGGGGCGGATCACCCTCGCGTTTCTCACCTGGGGCACAGAACCGTATAACCAGTGAGCACATTCTCTTCACACATGTGAGCAAGTTACAGGATGATTCATTTTCAAATAAAAATATCACCCTTGATGATTGATAATATATCTATATTTACTACTTTTTATTTCGTGACGCTGTCAACTCCATCGGGAAATTTAGCGGGAATGGGTTTAAAAGCATTGTAGAACATGCATGGCTCGTATATTTATTCCGAGAGCGCTTGCATCGGATGGAATTGAGAGAGTCAGGAAACGGGCGTGGCAGACAACAAACACACTTTATACTCCAAAAGATAAAAGGCAAAAAATCGTAAGCGAAAATAAAACCAACACTCATGGAGACAAAATTACCCTAATAACGGCACAAACTAGTCTGCAAACCAGTCTAAATCCGTTCTTAGCCCTATCCACTGTGCCTCATCCAATATGCCGTCTCAAAGGATCGAACGATCTTACAGTTGACATCGGCTTCTCTCCAATGCCGTGTCGAGATTTGTCAAGTACGTCGTTGACTTTCCCCTCCACTTCCTACCATCTCCGTCGGTTGGTCCCCCCGAACGAGCCGCTCGTCGTCCCAGACTTCGTTGCCTTCTTCAAACAAAAACAAAAAACTTGCCCACAACCACACTTCGCCATCATCCCCGTAAAATAGTTTGGACAAATATTCAGCCTCGCTATCTAGGCTTAGCCTGGTCATGGACTCTATAGATGGCAAGTTCACTCAGTTCACTGGTTTGGGCTGTTGCCCTCCTGCCACGAAGTGGGAGAGCTGCAAGTCGACGAGGAACTGCCGTGCAAGGGTGCGGCAAGTCCGGGCGGTCTCACTCGGAGCCTCCATGGTCAACAGCCACTGCCTGAGCCTCTCAACCCTCAGAACCGGGTGTCTATACTGCCTCCGTCATGGTAGTGACACTCGCTTCCCACGTCTTCACAGCTTGGCATCCCAACACATAGTGCCAGCTCATCCTCTGGGACTTTTCCTCATGACCCAGGTTCCGTACCACGAGCCTTTCTCCGAATAATCTCTTGCATTTACGTGGCTGGTGCGCGTGCTCTCTGGTGACTGTTCTTCTCCATGGTGTCTAGCAAATTGCAGAATTCTATTTCCCTGACTTTTCCAGGTTTTCACTGACCATTTTAGCTGAAATTCCCTGACCTATACAACAGACACCATTTTGTGGAAATGGTCCGTGAAGCATATTAAAAGGGAACAGAAAATACATTTCATTGTAGAGTAAAACATTTATTGCAACTCCCTCATCCTCGAAATGTACTTCAATTAGGGTTTGAGAATGAATGAATGAATGAAATGAATGAACAACTTTATTTATCCCTTGTTAAAGGGAAGGGGGCAACAGGAAAGGGTGTGGTGGGGATGAACTACTTGAAGTAGTCCTCCTCTACCCTCTCAGCCCACTCCAGGATGGCCTCCTGGATAGCGGGCCTCGAGCTGCGCAAGGCAGCCTCCCACTGCTCCTCACTAGAAATTAGGCGTTTCAGGAATGGGGGAAGAGGGTGCTTAGGGCAGCGCCACATGATGTGGTTCAAGTCTGCTGTGGAGGAGGCACAAAATTTACATGAGGGGGAAGGATAACAGGATGGATGAATGCGGTGTAGGAGGTAAGGCGAAAGAAAGGTGCGAGTCTGCAGCTGTCGCCACAGAATTTCGCACCTGCGTGAAGATTTGCGCGTGAGTGGCGGGAAGGTTAATCGCTCTAAACGGTAGTGTGTGCAAATATCGTGGAATGAAATAAGGCGATCCCGCGCTGTAAATGGCGCCTCATTCGTAGCGAATTGCGACACATCGGATGCGTGTGCCCGGACTGTGAATCCTCGGGCACTCGCATGAGCCGCCTCGTTTCCGGCAAGGCCCGCATGCGCGGGAGTCCAGATTAGTGCTACAAGTCGATCAAGGGGATGATGCAAAAGTAGGGAAAGGGCTGGCTTAGAAACCCTGCCCGCTCCGAAATTATATATAGCTGTTTTGGAGTCACTGATTATAACGGATGAACTAGGTATTGTCAGGGCCAGGGCTATGGCCGCCTCTTCCGCTTCCTCCGAAGAAGAAGCAAGAACGGAGGCGGCCGCAGCGACCTGGCCGTGAGAGTTGATTACCGATATTGCATAATGATGCCTGTTTCCGTAATCGGCGGCGTCAACATAGAGCACATCATTGGAGGAGGAGAATTGTTTTTTGAGGGCCCTCGCGCGCTGCATCCTGCGCTGTTTCTGGTGCTCAGGGTGCATGTTTTTTGGAAGTGGTGGAATGTATAGGTTCTCGTGTATGTGGTGTGGAATGGTGTACTTGACCTTAGTGATGGATGCCGGAGTGACAGAAAGGGTTTGTAGAATGTGTCGGCCTGTCACGGTGTTAGAAAGTCTGTTATACTGAGATGCAATATGGGCTTCTCCTAGTTCAGCAAGGGTGTTGAAGGTGCCAGTACGCATAAGCCTTTCAGTGGAGGTCCGTATAGGCACCCCTAAAGCGAACTTATACGCTTTGCGTAAAAGGATGTCTATCTGGTCGGATTCTGATTTAAGAAAGTGTAGGTAAGGCGTTGTAAAAGTTATTTTACTGATAACGAAGGCTTGGACCAAGCGGAGGAGTTCGGCCTCCTTTAGTCCGCCATGTTTATTACTGACCCGACCCAAAAGTCGCAAGGTATGATCAACGGTGGTGTGAAGTGTCTTTAGTGTGTATGTGTTGAGCCGATTGCTTTGAATGTGTAAACCGAGCACGCGGATCCTATCCACTCGAGTAACTGGTACGTCATCTAGAATTACCTGTATATTGGATATGTGTTTTTCGCCCCCTCTGTGAGATGGTAGGAGAAGTAGCTGAGATTTCTGTGGGGAACATGAAAGATTCATAGACCCTGTAAGTGCCACAACCGTATTTGCCGCAGCTTGCAGGGTGTCTTGAATCTCTCCATCGGAGCCGCCAGTCATCCAAAGAGTGATGTCGTCGGCGTAGAGTGAAAACTTGAGGTCAGGGATAGATCTCAATGCTTGCGCCAACGGCATCATAGAGACATTAAAAAGAAACGGTGACAGCACAGACCCTTGGGGCGTGCCGTAACTTCCCAAAGCGTAAGACTGACATTGATCTGCGCCTATGTGTATGGTTGCGGTACGGTTGGCTAAAAAAGTAGCTATATAGTTATATGTCTTTGCGCCAACCCCTATGAGATTAAGCTCGCGGAGGATGGCGGAATGAGCAACGTTGTTGAAAGCTCCATGGATGTCCAGACTCAAGATTGCTTGCGTATCTAGGCTGCTGTTGGGTGTAATGATATCATGCTTCAGTCGAAGCATGACATCTTGACATGACAGAGATTTTCGAAAACCCACCATTTCTGGTGGATAAACATTGTTGTCTTCCATGTATTTATTCAGACGGTTGAGTATAACGTGTTCAAGCGTTTTACCAAGACAAGAAGTTAGTGAAATAGGCCTGAGATTGGAAGTGTTCACTGGTTTGTTTTGCTTTGGAATGAAAATTACCCTGGCATCCTTCCAGGAACTTGGAAGGGTGCCAGTGTCAAAGCAGTGATTGAAATAATCTGTGATTGCCGTGACGGAGTTGTCGTCCAGATTGCGAAGTACTTTGTTGTTAATGTGGTCTGGGCCTGGTGCTGACGTTGTGCGCAGAGTGGCCATAGCATGCCGAACCTCTGCTTCCGTGATAGCGGCGCTCAATAACTCGTTGGGCTTTCCAGTGTACTTTGGTGTGTTATACTTCTGAGCAGGAGGCAGATGTTTATCGCGGAGGTCGTCGAAGAGTCCGTTTAGATCGTTTTTGTGAGCATATACAAGTTTCTTTATGCTCTGGTTTTGATGTGTGCGTGATGTGGTAGGGTCTAAGAGGTGGCGCAGTAGTTGCCATGTGCGTTTGCTGTCAAGGTTTCCTTGCATGCTGTCACACACCTGGCCCCATTGCTGGCAGGCCAGTTGTGTGGCGTACTCCTGGATCTGCAGGTCAAGCTTGGCTATTCGGAGTTTTAGCTTTCGGTTGTGCCGTCCTTTTTTCCATCTCTTCAAGAGAGACTGTTTGGCTTCCCACATATGTAAAAGCTTGGCATCAACCGTGGTGAGGGGGGTTTCGGGGGGCAAAGTTGTAGTATGCACCCCAGCATCTGAGTGAAGTTGCTTCACCCATTCTGAGATGTCTTGGATGTTTCTGGGAGCTGATATCTGGCGGGCCTCTCGAAATTTGTCCCAATTGGTGTGACTGATTGGCTTAGGTGCGAAGGGTTTGTGCTTGAAATGTACTGTAGTAGTAATGATGTAGTGATCACTACCGAGATTAACTTGCAAGTTGCTCCATGTAACGTGCTGAATTCTGCGTGTAAGGGTAAGATCGGGAGAGGTATCTCTCGATACGCTGTTTCCTAGCCTGGTTGGTGCATCGACGTCATTATGTAGCGTGAGTCTGTGGTCTTGTATGTGTATCCACAGGGCTCTGCCCTTAGGAGTAGAAACAGTGTGACCCCACAACGGGTTGGGTGCATTGAAATCACCAAGAATTAAAAGGGGATGGTCTTTGGCAGCGGAAATGGCTTGAGTAAAAAGGGAGTCAAAGCGGTGATGTTTGTCTCGAGGGCGGCTGTAGACATTCAGAAGGTAAAGAGCAGATGTGTTATTCTTATGAGGAATAATCTCCAAAAATCATGCTCTATATCGACGCCGTCGAAGTGGGAGTGATTTGCAGTGAGGTGTTTTTGAGTAAGAATTGCCGTATCAGGCCGGGACAGCTTTTTAGTTTGGTGGACATTATAACCTGGGAAGCTGACTGGCCCGTGAGTTTCTTGGAGGGCAATGACTTCGGGTAGATTAGAACGGGAGGCAAGGAACTGTTGCAGATGTGCTTTCTTTTTTCGGAACCCCCTACAGTTCCATTGCCAAACCTGAAGCTCGGAGCGAGTCGGGTTATTGGCCATTGTTAAGCGAAGCTGGTGCTGAGGTGGAAAGTGGTGCTATGCTAGGATTATTGG